TATATATGATGGAATATTATCCAGCCATAAAGGAGGATGAAAGCATGTCAATTTCAGAAAAATGGATGGAAGTAGAGAAGTAGAGAGTATCACCTTAAGTAAAACAAGCCAGACTCAGAAAGACAAATATTGCATGTTTCATGTCATATATGGAGCCTAGAAAAATTAGGGTAAAAAGAGATGACAAAGAAGTAGAAGGAAGACTATTTATAAAAGAGGAAAGGGGGATGGAAGGAGAAAGATGAAGGGGAGTATGGGGTAAAAACAATCAAAGTAAGTTATAAGAATGTATGAACATACCAGAATGAAACCCATTATGCTTTATAACTAACGTGCACTAATGAAATTTTTAAAAATCTAAAAAGCCCATGCACTTGATCACTTTATCCACTTTTAAGCCTTTTCCTAGAGTGTCTTGGAGTTATCTTGGCATTTCACATCTTAAACTGTTCTCGTGTGTTTAAGGAAAAGTGGTGTAGAAAATGGTCAGCAGTTGGTAGGGAAAACTAACTGAGGAAGCAGGACCTTCAAGAGCCACCAGAGAACTTTCATGATACTGATGAACAATGGAAATGACTCAGAGAAACAGACAGGGTTAGAGAGGTATGTGGTGTCAAGCATTACATGAGGCCGAAAAGAAAGGATATTTGGAGCTCAGTGGGTGGGACCAAGTCCAAAAGAACACAGTGAGTTCTATTAAATCTGTGAAGGCAAAGTACATCTGTTGAATAGTTAGTACTTAACTTGAAACATCGTAAATACAGAATAAATATCTATTGAATCAATGAAGAAATTAATTCTGTTCTAGTTTTCAGCTGCCAGGCAGCTAATCCCTGCTCAAATGCGCTAATTGATAAAATGTCAGTTTGCTGATAAAACATTCTAGGAAGTAAAATCTTAGGTCAGGAGAAATGTGATACAAACATTTCATGTTTTATAGGAAGGATTTTTCTCTACACCATCCTTGTGCACATGTAAAAGTGTATGGTCACAGTTAGCCTTTGCTGACTTTTTAAAATGGGGTTCCCAGAGATGACAAATGATCAATGGCGAGTCTTCTAAGAACAAAGGAGAGATCATCCTCATACCTAATCATCTAGGAGGGCTCCCCAAGTCTTTCTGTGGCCACTACAGTGAACATATTTGTTCGTTTCTGTATTGGGAGGATTGCGGATTAGAGCCTCCTAAATTGGGAAAAGCAAATGTCAAATTCAACATTCAGATGAGAGGAATATCTTTGGTTTTGATTTATAAATAGCAGTGAGTCAGCTTAATCAGATCGTTCTGCACAAATAATTCTACTTGAGCAATTATAGGAGAAAGGTATTGGGAAAACTTGCATTGGGAGTGTGCAACTAATTTTAAGACAAAGTTTAGTATCTCCTGGGCCCCAGTTTCTCACTAAAGATTGATTATAAGTTGCAAATCCTTCTACTACCCCCTTTTCGGGTTGTCTGCGATCCTACATTTTGCAAGTTAAACCATGCTTTCTCTTTCTTTCTTTCACATTAGCCTTTTTATTAGCCTTTAATAGTTAAAGGAAATATATGAATTAAAAATATTCTGGGTACCATGTGTGGGGTAATCCCAGCTACTTGGGAAGCTGAGGTAGGAGGGTTACAAATTCAGCCCCAGCCTGGGCAACTTGGTGAGACCATGTCTCAAAATAAAAAATAGAAAGGGCTGGGGAATATAGCTCAGTGCCTCTGGGTGCAATACTCTGTCCTGCAAAATAACATTGTGCTTGGTTTTGCTTGCACTAGGGTACAACTAGAAAATCCCACTCAACTGTTTTGAGTTATACTATATACACTAACAATAGAGGTGCCATACTTACATAGTATTGGGGCAGGATGGTGGCTAAGGCCCCCAACCTGGGGCCAGCCCCAGACTAGGCCAGACTGAGAAGAACATGTAACTCCTAGGGTTTGGTTATAGAGCCCAGATTAATCTGAGACTCACATGTGTGAGTTAGCACTAAGAACATGGGTGGCTTTATGCCAGTGTGGGTTGTAAGGAAGGGGCAAAAAAACTGCAAGTATGCTGGGTGTGGTGGCGCACGCCTATTGCCCCAGCACTCGGGAGGCTGAGGCAGGAGTATTACCATGCGTTCAAGGCTACCTGGGACTACACTGTGAGTTTGAGGCCAGCCTGAACTACATAGTGAGACCCTGTCTCAAAAAAAAAAAAAAAAGCTGCAAGCAGACCTGAGTTAAGTTATAGTGCTGAGCCACTGGTTCAGCAAATCATTATGAAGCACCTACTGCATGCATGACAAATGTGGTGATCAGTCAAGAGGAGAGCAGAGCTCAGTGAAGGCTGTGATAATAGGTCCGAGTCAGTACCAAGCAGCAAGAAGCCAAGTGAAGAAAATAGGGGAACAAGGGTCAGAAACTCAGCCAGATGTCTGGGTAGGAAAAGAGCAATTTTAATGATAGGTCCTAAGTGATTGCTGCAAATGTGCAGCTTGGCAAGGAGCCAAGTGGAGACTGAGGAAGAGGCCCCCTGTAAGGTTCCTGCTCCAGGGCAGAACTGGTCCCTTAGTGTAGTCTGCAGGTGTTGACACGCAAACACACCTGGCCAGCATGAGGGTGTTGAAAGGGCTAGGGACTGAGATGAATAATGGCAGGGTGATCCCAATGAGTGATAGTTCACACGGCTCATGGAGCTCATCAGTTAGAAGTCCTTAGTTTGTTTTTCCATTTCTCATAACCACTTCAATAAACAATACAACCAGAGTTATTTGTAATACATTAGAAAATTCTGATAAAAAGAAAATTAATTTGAACTATACTTCCATTGCAGATTTTAACATTTTGGAAGTTACTTTATAGATTGCAATACTATTTTCTTATGGATTCCTAAACTCAACATGCACTTTCCCACTCCACTTAGTTTGGGATAGTTTCTGGAATATATTCAAAAAGATTTTCTGTTTAGTCAACACCTGTTTTCCATGTTAACCCTAATATGCTGGGTTTCAGGACCTCCTATGACTTAAATGTTGGAAAAGGCATTATTCTTTAAGGGGTTCTTTATAGTGTTCCTGTGAAACTCACAAGCTGTCAGGACACAGTGGCTCCCAACCTGCTCACAGCCCATCTGGCCAACAGAGCGAGCACTCTTTCTAAATGGAGCAAAGCTGATTTAAGGAAAGAAGAGACAGGAACAGGAAGCAAGCGAGGAAGAGGAAGCTAAAGGAAAAGGAGAGGAGAGGCATCGGAGGAATAGGCAGGAGAGAAAAGACAGTCAACAATACAGTCCAAAGGTGAGAAAAGATGATAATGGCAGGAAAACAGACTGAGTATGAACAGGAAGAGTGACTGAAAAAAACAAACTACAAGTGTTGTGGTAGGGTACAGCTCAATGGTAGGGTGCATACTTAGTATGTGTGTCGCCCTGGGTTCCATCCCCAGCACCACATGCAAGAATTGGGTGTTTATTTCTTTCTTATCCTTTATCTACCTAGATAGTAGTTTTTCCTTTATGTGTAAGGGCAGCATGATGTAATGAGATGAGCCTATTACTGGAGGCCAAGAGACCTGGGTTCCATCCCCAGGTCTGCTATTCACCTGCTGAAAGACTACAGGCAAGTCTCTTACCTCCTCTGGATCTCAGTCCTCACACTTGTAAAACGAGGAGCTGGGAGGAAGTGATTTTTGATGATCTCCATTGTGTCATTGCTGGATGTATACAGATTCAATTTCAAGTTTAAGAGAAAATTTTAACTACCATTTAGAATCTGGTTGTGCACCGTGCACACCGCATAGATTTAGTGCTAAAGCATTACATGGAAACAAACAATTATAATTGTTTTAATTACCCAGGGCAGCTAGTAATTTCGACAAGACTGGGAACACTGTCTTGAGAATGCTATTATTACACTGTCACTTTGCAGCAGTCTTTCCAGTATAGGCATGATAATTTCAGCGTCCCAGGAGTGGCGGCAAGGTTGCTATTAGGGTGGTAATCTTGTGGCTTTTTTCTTTTTCCCCTTAGTAGAAAGGGTAATGCTGCCTGGTGAGAGTCACTTAGACTCCCTCCAACCACTCTAGCAAAGAGTATGAGTCAGATGTAACCTGTCCAGGTCATGAGGCCCATGGCAATGACACATTATCACTCCCTGTGGTTTTGGAAGGATGTCTGCCAGAAAGTATTACCTATCAGGTATTAGACTAGGTAATCTAATTCTAGAATTCTCTTCGTAATTTGGTGTCATCACATCAATATGGTGGAGGGTAGAGGGTTGCTGGTCAGTCAGCTGCTCAGTTCTATTCTCCAGGACCCTGCAGGACAGTCATGTGGGCTGGAACTCTTTCTGAGCGGTTAATCCCAAGCAACTTTAAGCTTCTCATCTTTCACACATGCAGTGGCTTTGAACTGCTTTATGTTTTCAGAAATCAAATAAAAAGCAGTTGTAATTTGGTGTGAATTTTACCGCATGCACAAGCAGCTATAAGGGTTGTTCTTTTTGCTTGCCCCCACCAGGGAATCTTAAGTACACAGTTAAATTGTGCTTCCCTCCAGGGTTTAGGGCAGAGTCCTGGCGATCTGGGAAAAGGGCCTTGGTCGACTTCCTACTTACTCTTTGTTCTTTGATGTGTAACTGCACCTTGTTCTCCACCAGATGCTAAAAGACCAGACTGCCTGCAGCAGCGAGAGCTCCATTTTAGGAGGAACTGCTGCTACATGGTAATTACCCTCTCAAGGCCTTTGGCAGTTTTCCTTTTACCAGGAGTTAACCCCCCCCCCAGAAAGGTTACAGCCTGGTCAATGAAATTTTCCTGCCCTGCCCTAAAGGAGCTCCCTGAGTGGCTTACATAGTGCAAACTTTCAAATTATTGAAATTATTTCACTTTGTTTCTTAGAAAATTGGTTGCATCCGATTCTGTTGGCAAATATATAACATGAATACCTTGTTTTTAAATGTCAAAATGTTTGCATTTTTAATGAAAAAAAAAAACAGTCCCAGGCTTAATGCTCAGGGGGTTCTGAGATTTCTGGATATAGCCTATAGATGATAAGAGGAAGGTTTGCCTTCAGAGAGTCCAAGCTCTCTGCAAATAAGCTGCAAGCCTGTTGCTGTTCACAAACAGGGGGAAGGATTGGAGTGACAGAGTATAAACCCAGATGCAGAACAAGATTCCACTATGATTCACACCTGAGGCTAAACCAGCATCACTGAGAACATGCTTAGCCTGGAAGTTCACCGACTGTTACCAAAATGCAGAAATAACTCGAGACTTTCTGTTCCACTTAGCGTAAGTCTGATCCTCTCCCTAGAGTGATCTACTGGCTCCGGGTTCCAAAATACTATTTAGAGTTCAGAATTTGAAGAGTCAAAGGAGAAATGAAAATTAGTAAGAAGATGGGGCCGGAGATTTAGCTCAGTGGTTCCGGCGCCTGCCTCACAAGCACAAGGTCCCGAGTTTGATCCCCAGTACCAAAAAAAAAAAAAAAAAACCCAGAAAATTAGTGAGAAGAGTAGCCAGAAGGAACTAGTTCACAATGGTCTATCTGTACAAAGCTGCTAACTGGCCATGTGTTCATAAATGAAAAAAGCTGGTTCTGGGCCAGTGCTGCATGAATGACTTGGGTCAGCTGCAAAAGAGATCACACATGAAGATGCTCTGAGGACAGTAAAGACCATGCCATGTGGGTGACTATAAAATGAAATAGTGAACACATTAGAGGTGGAGTGTTAAAGGGATGTTTTATCAGTTTATGTTAGCTTTAAATATGTCAGGCCATGATTTTCTTTTCAAACCTGGGCAAAGAGTAGGGAGTGGCAAAAGAGGGGCACAACTATGTGCACAGATTGGTGAGGAATGTTGTAGCATTCCTACTGGTGGGAAGGTCAGTGTGGGAAGAATTCCGCAACAAGGTGTGGGTGGGATGGAGGCAAGCTGCTTGGGTAGTGCCTTGCTGTGCTGTGGTCAGTGAGCCAACTGATAAACAGCAGGCATGTGCATGAAGGCACAAAAGACTGCAAAATGTAGGCTTATGCCAGAAGCAGTGGTGCACAGCTGTTACCCCAGCTACTTGGGGGACTGAGGCGGGAGGGTTGCAGGTTTGAGTCCCACCTGAGAGACATAGTGAGACCTTGTCTTAGTCACTTTCCCATCGCTGGGATGTGGTACCTGACACCCACAATTTAAAGAGGGTTTCTTTTGCCTCACGTTTCAATCCATATTCAGCTGGCTCCAGGTCAGGACCTTGTGGCAGAGGAGCATAGGAGAGGAGAAGCTGCTCACATAGAGAAGCAGAGAGTAAAGGGTGGAGCAGGGAAGGGAGATACACCCCTCTGGGTCACACACACAGTGCCAAGCCTCTTTGGATCAGACTCACCCTCCTAAAAACAAGCCGAGTATATTGCTCATAGGATGCACTCACCTGCCAAAGACAAGAGGCACTGGGGGGTTGGGAGTCCTTTTAGATGTAAACCATAACAGACCCCATCTCAAAATTTAATTAAATAACTAAATAGATCGATTGATCAATCAATCAATCAATCAATAAGTCTGGAGATGTAGCTTAGAGTCCCTAGGTTCAATCCTCTATACTGCTCAACAAAAGAAGCCCAAGCTCAGTTATGGTGTGTGAAAACCCTCACCCTGGCAGAAGGGGAAAGGGGAGCAAGCCTCTAAAGCCTGCAGATAGAATACCAAGCATCTCTGGGCTTCTCCCTTTCTCTCACCTGCCTAAGTTCTACTGCACCCACTACGGACACATGTCTCACATCTTACCTTCTTCTATTGTCACCACTACTGGCTTAGTTCAGGCTACAATCTTCTCTGAACTGAACAGTGACAGCAGCCTCAAACTGTCTACCTGTCACCTATTTTGCTCCTTCCTCACATCTACTGAATCTAAATCTGCATTTTAACAAAACCCCCTGGTGATTCATACACACGTCTTAGTTTGAAAAGCTATGCCCCAACAATTTCCTGGCTAATGTTTCTTATAGCGGCCACCTCTGGCAAAAGTGATAGATTTTTTTTTCAGTATTGGGAATGGAACTCAGGTCCTTGCACTTGCCAGGTACGTGAGGCACTGCTGAGCTAAATGCCTAGCCCCCTGGCTAATGTTTCTAAACCACAACTCTAACCATGTCAATTCCCTGATTCAAATCATTTGGCTACCCCCATTCCCATTAGATGGGAATTCCCCATTCCTGCCCTCAACTTCCAGCCCTCCTTGGTATGTATGGCTCCAGCCCATTTTTCCAACCACTGTAGCTCACTTTCTCCTTTAGCAACACTGAACTGCTTGGAGGTTCATTGTCCACACCAGGTTTTCGAATCTCTTCTGCCTCTGAGAACCACCTCCTTTCCTTCTCTTCATATGGCTAACTCCAACTCTTGCTTCCTTCTGATTACTTGGCCCTCCATTAGAAATCCTTTGTACTGCCCCTGTACCCTCTTCTTAGGTTAGATGCCCTTTGGGTGTGAACTTGTATTGCCCCCTGCAGACATAGCTCCACAAAGGCCTTTTGCCAAGCTGACAAGAACCACTGATGAGCCTCATTTGGCTGCAAGCCTTTGTGTTCCTTTGTGGTCACATATGTGTCTTCTTCACCATAGTCTTCCTGGAGACTAGGAAAGTACCTGGCACTATTAAGCAGGTGCTCAATGATACGTGTTGAATTATATATGTTGAATTGAAGGGATGTTGGAAAGGGTCACAGAAGAGTAAAGGCATATATAGGAGGACAAAGGTTTCTATGAGGAGAGACTAATAGCGGTGGAAGTGATCCCTTACATTCCAGGTCTTGAATATTCAAAGAAATACCACTCTTCTCAAAACAGACACTGTAGGTTGTCCAAATGCTAATGATTAGGCAACTATACATCTGGGTTTGTTCATGACTATCCTGTTGTGACAGTATAATTATTATTAATGTCCCCTGTCACCCTCAAATTATCCAAATTTGTTTGAGGAATTATATAGTCATTCCCTAATAGTCAACACTCTTGAGTTCTTCTTTTGGGCCAGACACCATAGAAATCACCTTATATGAATATATCCATTAGATGCTCACTATGACTTTTTAAAAATTGAGATACAAAGCACATAGCAAAAATTCATCCTTTTAAAGTGTATAACTAAATGTTTTGAAGTATATTCATTATGTTGTGCAACTATCTACTTCCCAAATATTTTTATCACCCCCCAAAAGAAACCCTATGGTAGCTAGCAGTAACTTCCCATTCCACCTTCTTGTCTGCAGCCCCTGCCAACTATTAGTTTGTTTTCTGCCTCTATGGATTTCCTTATGCTAGATATTTCAAACAGATGGAATCATATAATATGTGGCCATTTGTGCCTGGCTTCTGACCCTTCCATTTCACCATTGAGACTCAGCAAGATGAAGCAGCCTGCCCAAGACCACTTCTCTATAGGGACAGGAGTCAAACTAGACTCAGGTATGTTTGGCCCAAGAGCCCATATTCTTAGCCACCATGATGCTCTGCCTCCTAATATTTATTATCGGTGCTCAGCACATTCTTGGAACTCCTCTTTGGCTTTTTGTAACTGGATGCATTCTTTCCAAAATGCCTCACATATCTTCATTATTTGAAAGTATATTTAGTATTTGAGAATAGCCAAAAATGATAAAGAGTAAGTATGGTAACTAAAGTGACTATCAATCTGGGGAATTGCTATGAACTGATTTGCGTAGAAGCTCATGCCCACAATGTGACTATATTTGGAGAGAGGGCATTTAGAAGGTAAATGGGGTTACATGAGAGCATCAGGATGGGATCTTTATCCAAAAGAATTGGTAGCTTTCCAAGAAGAGAAAGTGATCTTGTCCTTAAGCCCCAGGTGAAGACGTAGGGAGAAGGTGGCCATCTGTAAGCCAAGAAAAGAGCCTTTGCCAGAACCTGACTCTCCTGCCACCTTCATGTCAGATTCCCAAACTATGGAAGGGTGAGTAAATTCATTTCTCTTCCTTCAGTTGCCAGTCGATGGTATTTTGTTATGCAGTCCTGCTGACTAAGATGATCACATTTGAGGATTAAAGAAATGACCTGTAACCAGAGAGGAGGATGAGTGATTATCATCTGTGACATTGAGAACAATCTCCTAAGGGCAGCATGATAGTATTCTGAATGTCAGGATAAACACTGAAAAAAAAAGAGAAGTATCTATAAGATACATTCTATGATATTTGGCTTTTAACATTTATAGTATCAATTGTACCTCTGGAAAATATAATAAATAAAAGGAAAAAGTAAAAATAACCTTTTGGGCTGTCATTAATAATGTGGTATATTTTGTTCCAGTCTATTGATTTCTGAAATCTTAATTGTATAGTCTGTATTTTGGTTTTTTTGCAATCAGTATGTAGATATATTAGAATCTCTTTTGGGGGAGAGGTACCAGGAATTGAACCCAGGGTCTTCTCACTGAGCTATATCTCTAGCCCATTTTTATTTTGAGAAAAGGCCTTTCTATGTCACTAAGCTGCCCAGGCTGGGCTTGGACTTGTGATCCTCCTGCCTCAGCCTCCCAGAGTGCTGGGATTACAGGCGCATGCCACCATGCCCAGCTCTAGAATCTCTTTTTTCTAATGTTGTTCATGGTCATTGTTGGACAGGTAAATAATATAGTTTGCTAAAGTGAAGACCCTTAATGAATCTTATACATACACCTTAAACTACTGTATTTATTGTAACATAAAATGTACCATTATGCTCATATGTCAGTCTTTTTTATGTAAGGCCTGGGCTTTTTCTTTTTTAGTATGGACTTCTGCTTGCATTCTCCTTTGTCTGTCTTTCCTAAATCACACATATATTGCATCATCTGTGATTTTCAGTGTTGGCTGATTTAAAACAGAAAATGAATGTAGCTGCTTGGGAAACAATTTGGGTACAGAATCCATTCAGATTTTGATATACTGTCTCTTCCAATCTTTTACTGCTGTCATATACAAAACTAATTTGACAGCATATTTTTAGGGATTCCCTCTTATTGAGTCTTTATAAACAGATCAACTTAATTTTCATAGAAACAACTCATGCTTTTACTGTTCATAGCAACTTTTGATATACATAGTAGAATTAAATTGTACATTTACAATAACAATTAAAACAGACACAAATATGTTCACATCACTGTATTTATCTACACACATGCATTGCTTATGTCATATGATGTGCCAGGCACTGAACTAAGACCTTAATGTAAATTACGGTGTTCAACCCCCAGAGCAACCCTATGAGATACTGTCATACCATTATTATTTCGATTTCATAGGTGAGTAAAATCAGACTCAGAAAGGCTCAGTAATTTTCCCAGGATCACAGAGTGACTGATCTTCCTCCTAAGAAAACCATTATACTAATATGCATGGTTCAAGTTAAATGTTTGGGTCCATTGGGTCCATTGATCTATATGTTCAGTAAATTTTTATTGCATGTCCAATTTTTACCAGTCACTGTGTTTAATGCCAGGTATTCAAACATGTGGATATTGTCTTTAGATACCTAGAAAAGGTAGATGAATCTGTGAGCTATCTGATTTGTCCCAATTCATCCAGTTGAAGAGTAGAGCAAGATTATTATTAAGTAATGCCTTATGTTTAGGTGTCCCACCAAAGCCTCATGCTTTTTTAGAGGTGGCTGAATCTAGAGTGTGTGATTGATTTATGGTGGGTCTAGGCCCGAGGGCAATAGGATTAATGGTTTGAGTGCTACCAGCTCTAAGTAGTCTGAATAAAATAAAAGGGGCAGAAAGACTCTATTATGGTCCCTTGTTGCCTTTGCTACCATGTGGGCACCATGAACTATTTCTGCTGTGTTGTCCTACCCCTTCCCTTGTTGCTTTTGTGTCTTCTGCCACCATGAACAGTTGCCCTCTGCCTCCCTGCCTTGGAGCCAGCCAACTATGGACTAAAACATCTACAAACCCCTCCTGCTATAACTTTGGGCGCTGGGTATTTTGTCTCAGCAATGAGAGAAAAGTAACTAAGACAGTTATAATCTAGGTTTATTTTTAAAAATTGGTATATGGCAAACGTAGGTGCATAGCAAGCTGGGTAGGTTGGGTTTTAGAGCAAGCGTTTTTGAATATTATCTTTTCCATGAGGAGATGAGTTTCAATCCCCAGGATTCAAATCAGTGTCCAATGGTTATAGTAAATTAGACAAGAGAAATACAAGTTCTAAAAGATTTTAAAATAGTATACACTATATATATATATATATATATATATATATATATATCAGACACTGCTCTCTTGTAATCCAAAGGAGATGAGAGAAAGACAGAATTCAGGATCAGAGTTTCAATTCTTTGAGCAGGAGGACTGACTGGTGGTATGAAATTTAGATTCATGAAGGAGGTTGATCAGAATGTTGAAATGTGCTGATTTAAACAAGAGCAAGCAACTGTACAGAGAATTAGAAGTCTAGAACATTAGTAAAGTTGTACATAAGGAGATATTATGAGAAAGATAATCATAACATAGAAATTGAGGCATTGGATCATAATGGTAAAAAAATTAGAAGCTGCATGTTGAAACAGAACCAAGACCATAACTATTATGCAACTCATTCTGCAAGGCTGGCCAATTTCAACCTAGGGAGAATTGAAGGGAAATAAGCCTGTCCTGGGAATGGGGGTGGAGAGCTTGAGCCATGTGAGCGCCTGACCTCCAAGTACATAAATGCCAAAGGCGTCTAGAGTCATTTGAGAACATTTACTGCAATGGAAGAATGAGGGGATTATTCTTATAAACATGTTATTGCATCTTACAGGAAGGAGCAAAGAGAAACCCTTGACTTGAAACCTTACAAGTATTGCTATATATTTATTCCTGGTGACTACAGAAAAATTTAAGCACACAAACATGTGGAAGGTGACAGCATAAGGAGGTTTAAGTGTCTCTGTTGGAAATAAGAATAAAAATGAAGAGGAAAAAAGAAAACATTGAGCTTCTTGAATTGGTTGCAAAGAACCTGTAGTCTATGGTGGAGTCCTTGTGACTGAAATGTTTCTTTGGTGGGAAAAAGTATTGCTGTTTCTCTCTCTCTCTCTCTCTCTCTCTCTCTTCATAATAAAAATCCTGTAGCATCTCCTTGTCTGGAGGACTTTACATATAGGAGCGATTTCATCATCTGCCTGGAATGGTCTGTCAGCACTTGCCCTAGGCAAAGATGCCTCATAGACAGAAAACACCTCCCCCACTAGACACCCCCTCCCTCAACCACCCTCACCTGTCCTTGGCACCCCCACCCCCAGTGCTGACTTCCTTTTGCTGGACCTTAGTCCACTGTGATCTCTTGCAGTAAATCAAAGCCCTTCCCTCGGTATAGCAGCTGTCTTTCCAGGTGCTAGGGATGCAATGGGTTTCACCTTTTGTGGCCTATTTGCATTTAAAAATAGGGCCCCGGTTAAACCCACATGAATTTGAGCTGGTGGAGCTCTGTGCAGTGTAACCGAGTGCAGGGAAGTTCAGGGGGAGAGGGTTGCATGTTTGGTCAGTCGGGGACAGACGGGGCTGAGGTAGCCTCCTTCCTGGAAGCTATTAAATCCCAGATGTGGGCTCTGTTCAGTGTGGTGCTGCCTTGGGGTGGGGGTGGAGAGGATGGATTCCCTGACCTCTCAAGGTTGCTGTTAATTCTATGGGTCGGTGATTTCCAGCTACGTTTCCCCGGCACAGGGCTTCTTTCTTTGCAGGAATAGGGCACCTCGTGACTTGGCTTTAACTAGGGGTTTTCAGCAGAGTGTCATTGTGCCTATCAGCCAGGGCCCAATTTTCCCATCAGCATCCTCCCTGCAACAGCAATGGCAGCAGGCGGTGGCTGAAGATTAGGCCGGCCATGCTCAGCTCAGAGATGTTCACGGAGAGCCCTTTAAAGCTCTTGTTCTCAGAAAAGGCTAAGAAAGGCACTGCTTTGTGATGTGTGTGTGTGTGTGTGTGTGTGTGTGTGTGTGTAGGGGGCTTTATGAAGACAAAAACACCATGTGTGCCCTTAGTGAACAAAGCATGCTGGGTGCATATTTGTTGGGTCAAGCCGACAAAGGAAATCTCCTCAGAGTCAGATGATTAATTTGACCAATTTCATGTCGGATCACAAATATCCCATAGCCCCTACTCTGTGCCAGGCTCCGAGTTAGCCTGGTCAGTAAGAAGAATAAGAAAGCACAGTCCCTGCTGTGGAGGAAATCAGTTTAAGTGGGAGAAGTGCGTGTTTGAGGTAAGGCAGGGCGTTGGCAAGCAGGGGGCCTGCTCAGGAAAGGACAGGGAGCTGAGTGAGTAGGAGTCAGCTAAAGCCAGGGAAGGTGGGAAGGGCAGCTGTGCCAGGGCTGACAGCAGCAGAGGCACAGAGCATATGGGACTTGACAGGTGTGGGGAATTGCAAGCAGGCTGCGATCATGAGATGGGAGAGTGGCAGGCATAGGGCAGGCAATGAGGCTGAGGAGCAGGCAGGGCTGGGGCCGGCATGCCAGCCTCCCCTGTGGGGGTGCAGGAGAGCTGCAGAGGATTTGAAGCAGGGAAGTAATAGGGTCAGATTTCTCTCTTGAGTAAAGGATCTGTCAATTTAGGGAAAATCATTCAAATTGCCTGTGAGATGCATTGACTAAAGATTTCCATTGGTAGGGGAAATTTGGAGAACTAGCCATGGTTAAGTGCAAGGCGGTCTTTTCCCAAAGGGTCCGTTATTCTAAGGGCTCTTTTGGCATGTCACTAAACCATCTATAGATAGATGCACGGGTCTGTGTGTGGCACTCTCTGCATCATTTAGTAGGACAGCTGTAGGCACCCTAAATGGTGCTTAAAGGAAACAGATCTTTAAGAGTCTCATTGCTTTGTTCCTTTATTCCACACTGGATTGACAATGCCAGATTAGATACACAAACTATGCTATAATCTCTTTGTTTTGTTTAGCAAAAATCATCTGGAAAAGCCCTGTTTAACCTGAGTTGTAGCCACCTCAATCTTGCTGAAAAGGAATATTTTGGATTAGAATTCTGCAGCCATTCTGGAAATAATGTAAGTTGGTTTTATTACAGGGCTGTTTGTGTCTAGAATTGCTTCTAAAGGCAGTGTGCATCTAGATTTATAGGATCAACCCAATTTGAAAGATGACAAACCATTTATGCCCTTTCAGAATTATTGAATTTAATAACTCGCCCCCTCATTTATTAAAAATCATCACAGTTTGCCAAACACAAACTCTTTCTACCCCATAACTCACTGTTTTATCCCTGTGAACAGCTGTCAGCACTTTATCTATTTTGGCTTTCCAGCGGCTGGACCTCAACCCTGAGAATTAAAACCCCTGACCTCACCAGTGAATATGCAGGGGAATCTCCTTTCCTGATCCTCGGGGGCTAACGTTCATGAGACTCTTCCATGAGACCCTGCTGTGGGATATCTGCACTCTGGCTCCTCCCCAAAAGGCTCATTAGGTCTATTAAGCTGGCATTTGGGATAGGCAGGATTCAAATATGGAGCCAAATGCCTTCGTTAGTCTTTGTAGCAACTAATGAGCCCTGTACGTGACACTTCCGTCATCCTAATGGGGCAGGGGAACAGTGATTCAAATGTCAACAACAAAGAGTTTATAGATCAACAATGTTCACTGTCTGGGAAAAATATAAGAAGGCGGGTTGAATGTGGTGAAGGTACGTCATCTCTTTGACATTGCTATGTTTCCAAGTACCTTTAGAAATCTAAATAATCCTGCTGTTTGTTTATTTCATGTTGACCTTTATCTGGAACGAAAAAACCAGAAAAAACTACTGCACTCAATGCAATGTTCTATCAGGTTTTTCATTAATGTTATTTCAGGTTTGGTTGGAACTTCTGAAGCCCATAACAAAGCAAGTAAAAAGTAAGTATGGAAAAGCACAAAGGGAATAGAGTTCTCCCTTAAAATTTGAAAAATACATATTTCAGCAACCCTACATAATTCCTCACCTACATATGAGGGGAGGGCTTTGATATATTATTTCAATCCTTCACACATTCAGTACATTTAGCAATTTAGAAAATTGTTTTAATTTTGCTTGAGATGAAAGAGCTCATTCTGCTGGATCTTTGAGTACATGTGAAGAACACTGGTAATTACAGAACTCTGTGGATTGGCTTTAGGAATATATCTCATGCTCCCCACTGCCAATCTTCAAGCATCCTTAAGTCAGTCTGCAATGCCATTTGCCCTCTGCCTGAAGACGTTTTCGTTTTAGCTCATCACAAGCATTGCCAGTTTGCTTCAGTTCATATTGGGGTGCCCACTAAGTGTAAATTATTTCCCCTTGTATTTGACAATTGATGGTGGTGGTTCTGAAATTTCAGCGTATATTAGGATCACCCTCATTCCTGGGTGGGGTACCAGCAACCTGGATGATTAATCAATTTTACTGGTGTTTCTGAGGCAGGTGGACCAACACTTTGAGAAACACTGTCTCAGTGTCTTTTTTTTCCTGGTTCCTCTTCCCTTACCTGGGTTTCACATGTTGGTTCTTCTCATAGTTCTGTCTCTTCCCATTGTATAATGATCATCTGTCACGTTATTCCAATAGCTTCTAAAGTGATTCTTCCCAATCCATCACCTATATTACTCCCAGAGGGATCTACTGAAAATGCTACCTTGACTGCATTACTCTCCTACCTAAAACACTTCCATGGCTCCCTATGACCCTTAGAGTAATGTCCAGTCTTGTTCACCGGACACTCAAAGCACTGGACTCTTACTGCCTTTCTAGCTTTGCCCCTGCCACTAACCGTTTGTATTCCTTCTTCTTCTGACTGTGACAAAACTAATCTCAGATGTAGGGCTTAAGGATAAAATACAGGATGCCCAATTAAATTGGAATTTAAGATAAACAAAGAATTTTTTATAACTACATCCTATGATAGTGTTTAACTGAAATTCAAATTGAACTGGAGTCCTGTATTTTGATTCACTAAATCTGGTAGCCCTACTCAGGTGTCAACTCCTCTAGGAGGACTTCCTGGACCTTCTCCAAACTCTTTTCTTCCTCTGTGATTCCCAGTACTCAGGAACGTTTTGTGGTATAATCGTCTACCTGTCTGTCCTATCTGACTTGGAACTGCCTAATACTTGGCACATAAAAAAACTTAACTCAGCGAGTATTTATTGAATGAATGATAATGCTGCAATTATGTGGTTAATTTTGATGCAAAAAATTCTTTTTGCTTTGCTGGGAACAAAACCCCAGGCCTTTTGCGTGCTAGGCAAGCACTGTCCCACTGAGCCACACTCCCAGCCCCCAGTTTCTTATTTTCAAATCCAAGTAGGGATGAAAGAGAGTAGATGCAGTCTTTAGATATATGTTTTACGATAGAGACATTGGTCTACACCGCTTCTGGTTCCCTTTATGAGCTCCTGAAGCCAAGTGAAATTCATCTACCCCAGGTAAAATTGGGCCCTTTTCTCAGGCAGCAATGCAGAGCCCCAAGTAGCAAGTGGCATATTTTTCTGAATGGGACACTCCTCAAAATAGTACACAGTAGGTCCCAAAGGGGTACGGTTTTTTATTTTTTTATTAGTCTATTTTATGATACATAATAATTATATTCATCTTGGGGGATTGGTACATACATATATCACATCTTGGTCATTTTTACCTTCTCCTCTCTCTCTCCTTCCCCCAAACCCCTCTCCATCCCCAGAGTCTACGTCCCTGTTTCCTATCATCTCTCTTTTATTTTGCTCTTGAAATTATATTTTGGGTTTCTCATATTGGAGAAACTATCTGATATTTAGCCTTCTTTTTCTTTAGCCTTCTGTGTCTTATTTATGTTACTTAACATTATTGTCCCAAGATCCAAAGGGGCACATCTTTAGAAAAAGAAACAAAAAAGGGAAAAGGGATGGGAGAACTTTTTCAATTGCTGTCCACATAGAGACACAATCCAGACACACGTGAAAAAATGAAATTTAAAATAAAAGGAATATTGGAGAGGGGAGGGAAGTGGAGTGTGGGTGTATGTGTGTGTGCTTGCGTGTGCGCATGTATGTAAAGACCTGTAACTATTGTGATGAACATTTAAATAAAACTTATGGAGATATTGTGTTTTAAGATCCTAAGGAGGTTGTTTTCAAATTTATGGTGAAATTTTTCCCAGTGGACCCCGGGCATCTTCGGGAAGAACTTACAAGGTATGGTACCTATCTGTGTGTCTGCTGCATGATGTTACTTGAGAATCATCATTTTCCATTTATCAGGGAAGGGGCTTCTGGCCTCTTGCAAGGCTTGGCTTTAAGTCACTCTCAGGAGATGGTGAGAAACTGGAGAAGGAAGGCCTGACTGGCCCCCAAGGTGTTTATCTTCCAAAAGTTTAGAACTTCAGGGAGAAGTGGGGTGGTGTTCCAGAGGGGGTAGCAGAACTGGGTGACCCCTTAGTGGACATGCCATTAATTGCTGTGACAACAAGCATGCTCTCTTTCCATGGTGTTTGTGTCTCAATCAGCATAGCTATGATGCCAGCTGATTTCCATAGACGTTGATAGGGGAGTGTATGAGGGTGTATCTCCGGGGTAGAAAGTAAAGTATTCTGAAATGATGATATATGTACTTAGGAAAATGCCCTTCAGAATTACAATGTGAAAGTACTTTTACAAAAATATAATGCCAATATAACACTTCCTAAAGCCTTACTCTGCTTTCTCAACTTAGGCTTGTACACACAGAGTGGACCTAAGAGATGCCCTAGTTCGGCCCTCTTGGTTTACAGATGACCAATCTTGTCCTGGGAGCTAAAGTGACTTGGCAAAGATCATGGGATGTTGGCAGTTATTCTCCCCAATATCTCCCCTCTTTCATGGTTCATAGCCAGGGCATCCTCAGGGCATCCTTTTTACAGGGAGGCCTTCCCTCTGGGTCTTTGCAGAAGTCACTTTTGTATAAGCTCCTGTCTCTCGCTTTCTCTCCCAATTCTCTCCACACTTGTGAGTTGCAGGCCACTCTCCCAGATAACTTGATATCTTGGTATCTATATCAGTTTGCATTTGGCAACCCATTTCAGCTGAGTTCTAAACACGACCAGTTTTGATGGAGATAAACTTTCTCAAAAAATGAGAAAATCAATGCGATGATAAATGGTTCATCAGCTGTTCAGAGCAAGGATTTGTTATTTATAGCAGTCAGCCACCCTCTTCACAGCAAGAAATGTGTCAAATGACAAGAAATTTTATTTCTTGCTAGGAGCAAAATACATTTATTTTCCCTTTAGCAACAGGACTGATTATTCTCATGTACATCTATATTTGAATGGTCACAGTTAGGTTTCCTTTGATTTTTCCCCATTTGTCCATTTAAGAATACTTAATTGTAGTTGAGTTTATGGGGATGCCTTGTTTGAGGCCAATACATGAATTTCTGAGAGTGGTGTGCAAATGGAATTTTTCTAGTGGAATCATTTCTAATGCATTAGAGGAGCTCACAGTTTGAAGGGTTATAATGATTAATGTTTTTGTAAACTGGATTATCACCTGCTAAGTTTTTTTCTCTAATTTCTGTCTCTCATCTGCAATTAATTTTATCCACCATATTGCCTTCAAGGCTTAATTGGTTACCCAAAATGTTCAAATAGAACTTTACTTAGAAGATCACATTTTACATAGGGAAATCCCCACAGTAAATACTCAGTCTACTTTTGATGTGTAACATAAAGTGTTGGGACCAATTTTGAATCACGGAAGAAAGCAGTTAGTGGTCAAGTCTTTGTTTTACATTTTTTTTCCAATTTGATTTTCCTTTGATAAAGCCTTATATGTGTAAGACAAATGCTGTCTGTTAGGCAGATCCCTGGATACCAATCTGCATTTTATGGGTCCTTGAGGCTTCAGTGGGAAAAATGTCAGTCTGGCTTAGTTCCATTCAGTAAGCCTTAATTACCTACCTACTCTGTGTAAAATACTGTGCTGAGCTCTGGTGATACAGAGATAGCAGTGCCGCCAAAGAGAATGACACCAGCAGGAGCATGGCCCCAGACCCTTGATTTTTTGCACAGCAAGTAGCCTGGTTTCAGTGGCAGAGCTGAGTTGTAGCCAGCTTTACTATCTGTGGGTGATGGGACATTGTCAAAATCACCTAACCCCTCTTTGCATAGGTGTAAAATGGGGTAATCTTCTTGCCCTACTCACCTCCTCATTTGCAACAGTGAGTGCTTGACAAGCACTTTGGTTTGTTTTTGTTTTTTTTTTGGTACCAGGGATCAAACTCAGGGCCTTGAGCTTGCCAGGCTTAGCCTCCTGTGTACTCATTTTTGCTGGGTCTACTTTCCTCTCTAGCTCAGCATGTGGCTTTGCTGCAATGTGGCAAAAACCACCAGAGGATAGTTGGCCAACTCCCTCAAGTTGGCAGGAGGATTTGGCCAGGGAGATTCCCAATGGCTATGAAACCTGCCAAAAGGCTGGATCAGCCAGGTTGTGGTCTGGGGCTGGCTTAGGGCTGAAGAAAAGCCTATGTATTACTCACCATCCCTGAAAGGCATGTGACTGGGGGTTCCATTCCTTTCTTGAATCGTCTTTATTCTGGGAGAAGGGAAATGCTTCTTTCTTCCTTCTGTTTCTTTGTCATGAGGTTACCCCTGACTTTTTTGCAGGTATCTTTTTACTCTTCAGATAAAGAAGGATTTGGCTGTAGGAAGGCTTCCATGCAGTGACAACTGTGCAGCGATGATGGTTTCTCACATCTTACAATGTAAGTAACAAATTTCTGCTTTGGGACCCCCTCAGCCAGGTAGAGAAACAAGCAAAGGAGCTGAGAACCTCCAACATGCCTCTCACTGTGTCAGAGCTGGAGAGGAGAGAAACAGGAGAAAAAAACTGCTTCATTGTAGCCACTGGGGTTTGGATTCAAATTTTCTCTCTACTACTTCCTATTGCAGGGCAAGGACCCTTACTTCTCTGACCCTGAATGTCCGTGCCTTTAAAACAGTGACATAAGTACCTTCTGGTACTTCAGATACCTTCAGGGTGCATCTGTGGATTTAAAGTAAAGGTTGATTTTCTTCTACCTCTATTCAACCTTCCCCTCCCACTGCCCCTGGGCTTGCTGGCCAAGAGTTGGTTTGGACAAATCTGGGCATGGAGTTTGCCAGGCAGGTTCCAACTTCCTCTGCTTGCCCCAGGATACATCACTGGTACGTGCTGTCTACAGCACAGTGTCATGTTCAATATGATTTCTGTGTTTTGCTCTTTATCATGATTCCAGAGAACAAAGCACAGAGTACAGCAGGTGCAGAGAGGCTAAAAGGGAAAAAGGCCCCAGGCATCTATTAGTGTTCCCCATATCCCAGCAGCCAAGCAGGAACCAGTCTGAATAAGGAAAGTAGGCTGAAGGAAGCCTGGGGGCCAGTGGGGGCCTGCCTGGGAGGGGGTGACACCAGGCAGGCCAGGCTGTTCCTGCAGCTCTTAAGTGTAGGGTCTAGGCAGCCCGAGATAGCATCTCTTCTAAGGCCAGCTGGACTTTCTCTGGCGTTTAGAGAGGCCTCCCAAGAATACACTGTTCCTTACTAATCCTGCAGGATCGTAACTTCACTTTTGTTTGTTCATAAGTTCATTCTTGACCTCTGTCCCTTACCTTTGTGCAAGTCCATAAATGGTAGATTTCTGATTTCATGGGAAGCTCTAGAATGCAGTGCTTGGATAGGGACTGTGTTTATCAAGTGACTCCTGGCTGGGTCAATAAAGATAGTCCTGAGGTCTCAGAAAGGCAGTGGGCAGTAAATAGTACCTAGGGAAGGCTGAGAGAGAGGGTGGCTTTTGTGCTGGCCTTGAAAGGGATGCATCAGAATGGGTAATGGTAATTGAATGGGTAATGATCAGCAGAGAGAGCAGCGTGGAAGAACTAGTGGGACAAGAGACAGCACATATAGAGAATGCAGTATGTTTGCTTAAGAGGGGCAGTGGAAAATGAAGTATCATTTTGAAGGGTCTTGAATGCCAGAGTCACTGACTGTGTGCCCACCAATATACTTAGCACTGAGGTACGGGACACAGGGTAGAGCAGATAGAGAAACCATTACTGGAAAACACCCTTCTCCACTAGTTGACTCTTAAGGTAGTAGTCATGGAAAGGAGGTCTCTTCTATGTCCTCTTTTGGGGGAGCCGTTTCATTCTTAACAGTTTTGCCTATGGATTTGGGCATTCCCTAGTGGCCATTTCAGGCATAGTAGAGAGCACTTCAGCTTTCCCCGAGGTTATTTTGTTTATCAATAGAAGCTTTCTCCCTGGGGAAAAAAGCTGAAGTTGCAGAGTTAGGTTTTCGCCTCACAATCCCTCGCGGTCAGACTCACTGGACTGTAAGGTAGTGCACAGAACAGTCACTTGCTCATTTATCTTCTCTTTTACTCATTTATCCAATATTTGTTGAATGCATGATACATTCTAGGCATCCAGGAGCCTCCACATTCTGACCTTCTCATCTGCTTAAATCTTTTTTACACACCTTTCTCCTGTAGTCACACCCTCCTTCTTAAATACAATCCGTATATTTCAAATAAAGCCTCCCTCTTACAAACTCTTAGTAGCTTTTCTTTGTCATCCATCCAACAAAAATTTATCGAGTACCTACTGTGTGCCAGATTTGATTATAGGCATTGAGAAAACAGCAGTGAACCAAGACAAAACTCCTTATCCTTGTGGAGCTCTCATTTTGACAGTGGCGGAAAATTAGACAGAGACCAAAATAATAAAAGAAATGGCACGACTCATGTTAGAAAGTAGTGAAAGCAGTGGAGAAAAATAAAGCATGGAAGGGAGATGGGGAATTCTTGGGGTGGGTACTGAATATTGCAATAAGCAGTCAGGGTTGGCTTACTGTGAAGATGCCAATTGAACCAAGACTTTAAGGAAGACAAAGCAAGCCAGGCAGCAAAATGTGGAGAAAGAGCGTTCTAGGAAGAGAGAATATTTGGGGCAGAAGGTCTAAAGCCACAGCATGCCTGGCTGGAGCTGAGTGACAACAGGAGACAGTAATCATAGACAGCCTTAAAAATATATTAAAGACCTAGAACATAACTCGCAATGAGATGAGAAACCACTGAAATAGTTTAAACAGAGGAGTGATCTGAATGTTGTTTTGTTTGTTTGTTTGTTTGTTTGTTTTGGTGTTACTGAGGATTAAATCCAGGGAGCCCTGAGCTATGTCCCCAGCCCTTTTTAAAGTTTTATTTTCAGGGGCCAGGGATTTAGCTCAGTGGCACCACGCCTGCCTGGCAAGCACAAGGCCCTGAGTTTGATCCCTGGTACAAATAATAATAATAATAATAATAATAATAATAATAATAATAAAATTTTATTTTCAGATAGCATCTCACCAAGTTGCCCAGGCTGGCCTTGAACTTGCAATCCTCCTTCCCCCTCCTCCCAAATAGCTGGGATTAAAAGTGTGCACCACCACACCTGACATGAATTAGATCTTAACAGAATCATGTTGGCTGCTGTGGTGAAAACAGACATTAGGAAGGAATGGTAGAAGTGAGGGGACCAGAGAAAAAGAAATTGCAGCATGGTAACAGTGAAATGACATTTATTGCTTTCTGCTACTAGTGATATTTACTCAACTGTATGCTGTAGTTGTCTTCCTAGATTCTCATAAGTCTTGCGTAGGGAGAAAAACAATTATAATCTTATGGTCCTTATGTTTTCCCAAGGTTCTCATGGGATCTTGTGTTCAATTACCCAAAAGATTGATATATGTGTGTGATATATTTTTGAAAACAGCTCTATTAAGGTATAATTGACATACCATAAAATTCACCCATTTAAAATGCACAACTCAATGATTTTTAATACATTTACAGAGTTGCGCAGTCATTACTACAACCCAGTTTCAGAACATTTCCATAATGTCAAGAGGTTTCTCACTCAAGCTCATTTGCAATTACCCTCTGTTCCCATGCTCAGCCTCAGACAACCACTAATTTACTTTCTTTTTCTATACATTTGCCCCTTTTGGACCTTTCATGTAAATGGAATGATAAGATATATTGTCTTTTGTATCCAACTTTTTTCACCTAATATAATGTTTCTGAAACTCATTTATATTGCAGTACATTTTTCTGCTGCTGAGTAGTAACCCATTTTATGGATGTACCTACCACATTCTGTTCATCAATTCACCTGGCCATAAACAACTGGATTGTATCCAGTTTGGTTATTATTAGTAGTGCTGTAAACATTGGCATATGAGTCTTTGTATGGATAGATGTTTTCATTTATCTTGGGAAAATTCCTAGGAGTGTAATTGCAGGGTGTCAGTGATAAATTTGTGTTGAACATTTTTTTTTTTTTTGGTACCAGGGATCGAACTCGGGTTCTTGTGCTTGTGCAGCAGGCGGCGAAACCACTGAGCTAAATCCCCGGCCCTATTTGTATTGAACATTTTAATAAACTGCCATACTCTTTTTCAAATTGTTACACTAACAACAGAAATGTGAAGTTTCCACTTCTTCCACATCTTCACTAATACTTTGTATTGTCTGTCTTTTTTGTTATGGCCACTCTCTTGGGTATGAAAATGTATCTCACTGCAATTATAATTAGCATTTTGCTAATGACTAATGATGTTGAACACCTTTTAATATGCTTATTGCTTTTTTGGGGGGGTAAAATGCCACTTAAATCTATTGCCCATCATAAAATGGGTTTCTTACTATTGAATTTTTAAAAACTCTTACAAGTTCTGATTTATGAACTAGGTGATTTGCAGTCTCTCTCTCAATCTGGGCTTTGTGTTCTCATTTTTCAGTGATGTCTTTTGAAGTACAATTTTTTAAAAAAATTTTGGTGGAAGTCCACTTTCCAAATATTTTTTAATGAATCAAGTTTTATTTGGTGTATTAATACTTCTCACGTAATTTAAGATCACAATAATTTTTCTGCTAAGTTTTCTTCTAAAACATTTATAGACTTGCCTCTCAGATTTGGATCTGTGATTCATTTGGAGTTAACTATTTGTAAGCTTAAGTGGTATATGGTATGAAGTAGGGATCCAGTTTCCTAGTTTGGCACATGGATGTCAGTTTGTCCCAAAACTATTTGTTGAAAAGGCTATTATTTCCTCATTGAATTGTCTTGACACATCTGTCAAAAAACAATTAGCTATAAGGGCCAGGGATTTAGCTCAGTGGCTCTGCCACCTGCCTCGAAAGCACAAGGTCCTGAGCTCAACCCCTGGTACAAACAAACAAACAAACAAAAACAACTAGCTAAAATGTAAAAGTTCACTTCTGGATGCTCAGTTATGCCACATTGATTTTAATGTCTACCCTTTTGCCATCACCGCACTGTTTTGATTGTTGTATCTTTATAGTAAGTTTTGAAATAGCAAAGCGTACATCCTCCAACTGTATTTCTCCTTTTCAAAATTGTTTTGATTATTCTACATGCTGTGCATTTTCATGTAAATTTTAAGACAGTCAATTTATTTATTTATTTATTTATTTATTTATTTATTTATTTAGGTACTGTGGAGTGAACCCAGGGCTTTTGCATGGAGCTATGTCCCCAGTCCTTTTTTTGTTTTTTTTGACTGGGTCTCACTAAGTCACTAAACTGCCCAGGCTAGGCTTGAAAATTTTACCAAAAGAAAGTCTGCTAAGATTTTGATAAGGATTGCATTAAATTTATGGTCAATTTGGGAAAATATTGCAATCTTAACAATATTGAACCTTTTAGTCCATGAACCTGAAGTATCTTTCCATTTATATAAATCTTTTAAAATTTTCTCTCAGCAATGTTTTGTCGTTTTCAGTGAACAAGTCTTATACTTGTTTTTTAAATCTTATTCCTCAATATTTTATTCTTCTTTGCTGTTATTGTAACTGAAAGTGTTTTCTTCATTTCATTTTTTGATTTTTCATTGGTAGTTCATACAAATACATTTACCTTTTCTATGTTGATCTATCTTGCATCCTTGATGAACTAGCTTATTAGTTCTGATAGTTTTTGTGGATTCCTTAGGACTTTCTACACACAAAATCATGTTGACTCCAAATAAGAACAGTTTTATCTCTTCCTTTTTAGGGCAAATTGTTTATGTATCTTCTTTTTGCCTGACTACTCTTATTAGTATAGTGCTAGGTGGGGTGATAAAAGCAGACACCTTCCTGTTGTTCCTGGCTTTAAGGGAAAGCATTTAGTTTCTTACCATGTAGTATGATTATGATGCTGGCTGTAAGTTTTACATAAATAAATTCCTTTGGGTTGAAGAAGTTTCCCTTGATTCCTTATTTGTTGAGTGTTTTTAACCATGAATGTGTGTTGGATTTTCTCATTATCTTATTTATGTATCTACTCAGGTGATAAAATATGGGGGGTTTTTTTTGTCTTTTATTCTATTACCATGGTATATTTCATTCATTGTTTTTCATATGTTGAATTGGCCTTGAAATCTTAGAACAAATCCTACTTGGTCATAGTCTAAAATCCTTCTTATAAGTTGCTGGATTCAGTTTACTTTTTTTTTTTGGTGGGGGGGGACCAGGGATCAAACTCGGGTCCTTGAGCTTGTGCAGCAGGTGGCGAAACCACTGAGCTAAATCCCCAGCCCAGTTTACTTTTGTTTTGAGGATTGTTGCCTCTGTATTTATGAGGGATAGTTATATGTATTTTTCTTATGATATCCTTGTCTGGTTTGGTTATCAGAGTAAGACCAGCCTCAGAGAATGAATTGGTAAATATCCCTTATTCTATTTTCTGGAAATGTTTACGGAGAATTTAAATTTATATCTTCTTTGAATATTTGACAGTATTAATCAGTGAAGCTATCTGGGTTTCAGTTTTAGTTGGATTTGTACATTCATCAATATTGGTAAATAAAGCCATTGATTTAGATTTTAAAATGTTTTCTATAAGGAGATTTTTATTATATTGTGACTTAAAAAAATATATATATATATCACTTGTCTAAAAATCAGTGTATCTTCTAAAACACAAATGAAAATCCAAAGCAAAGAGAAAAAGCAAAACAAAAAGAACAGCCATTGCATTGTCTCTCTGGTGTGAGAAACTGAGAGTATAAATAAGGACCAAAATACATAAGCCATATTGTTAAACAGGAAGAAATTGTTCAAAATTATACCGAGTGTGAGATATTTTGTTAATAGCTAAAATGTTTTCTACAAAAAGCTATAATATTATTAGGAAATGGGTTGATAGATTAGCAATCGAAAATATATTCTCTGAAGATCATGATACACAGTGTATTTACCATTGTTATGCTCTAATTATGTTTTTTATGAAAAATTATTTTTCCATGGAACTTTTATATTTTCTTTATTAATATCTACATGTATTATACTAAAACAAAAAATTTAAAAAAGAGCAGCCTTCAAGCACTCAAACCCAGTACACTATTGTCAGTAGGAGAGCTCCCATGAAGAATCTACTTTTACAGAGCGTACACTGCTAACAGTTGTGGATGTCTAGTTCCTCTTTTAAGTTAAGTTAGAAGTATCATTTTAGAACAAACTGTTCTAAGCTTGACTTCAGGAAAAGTCAGTGACCAGAAAGCAATTCATATAAATCTGACAGATAGGGAAGAAACATGAAAATTTTTTAAAGGGCAAAAGAATTCAAAAGCCAAAGCCATTTCAGGTTATTACATTAGGGCAGGTAATCCTAAATACCTCAATTGCCAGTGTAGGCCCATTGCTGTAATCGATGTTCATAACAATAAACTGGAGGCCTCTAGAAAAGAGTAAATTATTATCATGGACAAACTGCCAGCTGTTTGGAAAGGCAGAATGATTTCTAGAATGATTCATCTACTGGGAATTCCAGATAGCTGGGGATTTAGGAGATTCCCAATGTACAGAGTGATGAATTGGCTGTGGCTGGCTTACATTAGGGTTAGCATTTTTATTCTCCTTTCTTGATAATGTATGATGAGGGTGGAGTGAGGTGGGGTATGCATTCGTTTACTAGGGCTGTCATAGCAAAATACCAGAGACTGGGTGGCTTAAATGGGAGAAATTTATTTTCATACCATTCTGGAGACTGAAAATCTAAGATCAAGGGGTTTGCTTGTTTGGTTTCTTCCGAGGCCTCTCTCCTTGGCTTTCAGATGGCTGCCTCTGGCTGTGGCCTTTTTCTGTGTGCTCACATCCCGAGTGTGTCCAAGTTTCCTCTTTTTATATGGACACCAGAGTAAATTATGTCCCACAATGTTCTCAATTTCACCTTAACCACCTGGGTAAAAAGGACTATTTGTCTCCAAATAGCTACATCTGGTAGTATTGTGGATTCAGAATTCAATGGCAAATTTTGAGCAGACAAATTTCAACAGTTATAACAGGCCTGGCTGGAAGTTGAAGAGATCAAAGAAAAGAATGTGAGAAGAAAAAACTAATAAAATATTCAACAATGACCTTGGAGCCTTTAAGATCTGTACTGGGCCTTTAACTTAACTATACTGAGACTTCATAGCATCCCACTGCTTGTGACTTGAAAAAGAACCATTTGGCCTTCCCCTATATGAAGACAAATACTGTATGCATAAAACATGGAGTGAGAAGCATGGGACTGCACTGGCTCCAAAGAACGGGCTGTTTGGGGGGAGGTCAGAAGGTTTATCGGGTGTTCCGTTATTTAACTTTTCAATAGTAATGTTAAAAATGTCCCCCTTTTCCATCCTGCAGCAGAACTGGGAGACTTTCATGAAGAAACAGTTAGGAAACATCTGGCACAAACCCGATACTTACCAAACCAAGACTGTTTAGAGAGCAAGATTGTGCACTTTCATCAGAAGCACATGTAAGTACTTTAACTGACATCTGCTTCCCTAGCAGAGGACACTAAAGACAGGGACAGACTCTTAAAAGCAAGCCCTTAAGCCTGAAATTTTTCAGGCTCAAGAAAACGCAGATCTCCTCATGGAGATCTCAGGGTGGAAGTGTCATTCTTCCTGCATTTATTAGACTCATAAATTCTTTTCCCTTGCAGTGGGAGGAGCCCAGCTGAATCTGACATTCTGCTACTGGATATTGCGAGGAAGCTGGATATGTATGGCATTAGGCCTCACCCTGCCAGTGATGGTGAAGGGATGCAGATTCACCTGGCTGTTGCCCACATGGGAGTGCTGGTGCTGCGGGTAACAACTTTTTCCATTCCAGCCCTTCTTCTTGCCAGGTGGCGAGTATCTTAACTCAAACTTGGGTGTCCGGTCCCAAGGTGATCACACACTCAGTCTTAGCACCAGTTAGAAAGTGAAGCAACATTTGGGTATGTTTTGGGTCAGCCCTCTCTCCTCAATGTGCTTTCCTTCCATTTGCAGTCTGTCACTGACTGTCTTGGTTCTGAGAAACACACGTATCAGATTAGGCCTGTGGGAAGATACAAAGGGGCTCTTTGGACCTTCTACACCAGTGGATTTAGTCGTGTAAACAGCCTATGCTGTGACACTGTCTAAATTCTCCAGAGTCACCTTGAGGGTTCCAAAATGTGGTATACTCTTTTTGTCATCGATTTCACTTGAGATGCTATCTACTTATTCATCTATTTTCAGTATATTTATTGTGCATCCATACTGTGACAATCACTAGGGCTATAGAAGTAAACAAGAATCATCCTGACTTTAGGGAACTTAAATTCCAATAAGGAGAAAACAGATCATTAAATAAGTCTAACAAGCAAATGTGATGTGCTTTGTGCTCGGGGTATGGAGTAGTCAGGTAACACATGTGAGAGGGGCTTAATGTTTAAGCTGGGATGTGAGGAAGTTATTCAGGCCAAAGGGATAGGTTTGGGAGGTGAGGAAAGGTGTTTCAAAGGAAGAACCAACAGACAAAGGCCCTGAAAAGAGCAAAGCATGGCATTCCAGAGCAGCCTCCTGCCCCACTTGTAATGCTTGGTCATAGTTTCTCCTTAGATGGACAGGATCAATCTATGCAAGAGATGGGTCGAAGAGTCAAAGACGGCGACACATTCTGAAATTTGCCGTGTGTTTCATTGTAGGGAAATACCAAGATCAATACTTTTAACTGGGCTAAAATCCGCAAGTTGAGTTTTAAAAGAAAGCATTTTCTCATCAAACTTCATGCCAACATCTTGGTAAGTATTTTTGTTTTATTTTTGGTCCCTTGGAATTTCTTGTTTCTGCAAGTGGACTAAATGTGAGTAGTAGAAACTGGCTGGCTCTGAGGAGTGATATGTCACCCCTGCTGCTTCTTGACAAACTAGTCAGAGGTTTAGTCAGACTTTTATTAAAGGCAAAACACTAAGAATTCTGATTTTCCATTTAGAATGAATAAAGGCATAGGAAAATGTGTCAGCTGGGCTGAAAGGCCTCTCTGTGGAAACTGTTTGTGAGAGATTAGATAAATCAAGTGGGAGTGACCAGATCTAACACTATGGAAATAATCATTTGTTCTCTGCTCCATTATAAAAGTGTCTTCATCCACTTTCCTTAAGGAAAAATTATTGAATACCTATTACATGTGAAAGCCAAGCAGAATATGGGTATACATGTATACAAAAGAAGCAATTATCAGGCAAGTTTGCATTGTATAGGCTGAGAAAAAGGTACCAGAAAGAATGTTCTTTTGTGACCATAAAGAAAACAAAATCTGTGTTATCAACTACAGAAGATCCAGTTTGGGCTTTATTCTTTGGCATTATATAAATGTGTTCATTTGAGCAGTTCAGGGGACCAGATCCAGTGTGAAACTCATGAAGAAAGCCCCAGGGGCTGCGTGCAGAAATCTGGGAAGGAATGAGAGAAGGGAAGTCAGTGTAATGGGTTGGTGGGACTGAAAAAAGGGGAGCTGTGAGCGTGCCATGAAGCCTTGGGCTAATGAGGCATATGATGAATCAGGTGATAAGAAAACCTTGAACTCTAAGTCTGGAAGGCCAACCTCCCCTAGAGCAGATTAAAATACATGAAAAGAGCAATACAGAACACCATAGAACAAGAGAACATATAGAGAAAATAAGTGTTTCTAGGTGGTCCATTAAAAAAAAACTCATGCATGTATAATCATCCCATAAACCCTACCATCTCTAAGGAAATCTCCATCTTCCTCTTTTCTGTTGGTCATGTAGAATTTATTGTCTCCTTGAATGGATGACCCTTTCTGTTCCTCAGAAAGTTGCTGATCATTTGGTTTCAGTAGGTGTGAAACCCACGGGAAGCCAAGGGAGAATCAGAAGCTGCATGGGCCCCTGGACAGATAGTTTGGAAGGCATTGGGATTTGAAGGTCTTTGATATTCTCAGAGGATGTTTTGCTCAATGGAAATTGGTTCATACAGGTGTTGTGCAAGGACACTTTGGAGTTCACCATGGCCAGCCGAGATGCTTGCAAGGCTTTCTGGAAGACTTGTGTGGAGTACCATGCTTTCTTCAGGCTTTCTGAAGAGCCCAAATCAAAGCCCAAAACCCTACTTTGCAGCAAGGGTTCCAGCTTCCGTTATAGGTAATTACATACTGCACATAGGAAAACTACATACACTACTTCTTTCCAATAATATGGGAGGCAAAATGAAGGGTCCAAATTGTAGAAACAATAAAGAATCCACTTCAATCACTTGAGATATTATATCCTTTACTTCTTCTACTTCATATGCCACATTAAGTAAATATTTCCTAACTGGGAGATAGGGAGAGGGAAGTACTCCACCTGAGAGATTGGATCAGAATCACAGCAAGAAAAGGGGGGTATAAGCAGTTTACAAATGTGTATTCAATGAACCATTGTTTCCCTTATATGCAAACCATAAAAAGGAAAGCTCAACAACATCCTTTTGGTGATGTTTAAGCAAAAGATAGCGTGACAAAGCCCAGGAGGGGATACAGGATTTAAAAAGATTGAGAAATATTATTCTACAAGCTCCTCACTATAGGTCACATCTTGGAAGAATGGAAGTAAAGTTGAATTAAGATCTTGTTTTTACTTGAACACACCAGCCTAGGAATTCATTGAAAGAAGCTTTCAAAACTCTTAGCTAAGATTAAAAAATTCTAATCAAATGCTTCCACACGAGGGATTTTTCAAGTAGTGGAAGGCTGCCCCAGTAAGAATTGAGTTATTAAAAAAAGCATATTTTTGATGGAACCTTTCCAAAGTGTATTCTACAAATCCCTGCATTCTTAAACAGATGATACTGAGCATATTTTGCCCTTTTCTTAATGACCTGAGTTATTATAAACATCACTTATGATCCTCTCCAGGCAGCTGGAGTTTGGTGATGGCCTCAGGGCGGGGGAGGCATGTCAGGCCCTGCAGTTCAGTGATAAACAGCCTAGACTTTTGGGGTTTTATTATTCTTGTGATTTCTTTTTCGACTCTTGTGTTTCTCCTAGCAGTCAGCTGGATTTCTTTGCTAGTGTATGCTTGACTAGAGCAATCCTCTTCTACTATTTAGTTAGCTGTTTTTTTTTTCTGGAAGTGGTATATAAAATAAGTCAGTTTACTTTTTACATTTTTACAAAAGATTTAGGCTCTGTGTAGTTGAGGTTTCTCTATTTATGCCTGGTTGTTGGATAAGTGGGTATTACCATTACTGTGATAGGCAAAACTTCACATTCTGTGTCATTTATCCAGGTGCTTTTGGTTTCAACAATAAATGAAGCTTCCAAGTTTTTAATAGCCTCTTGGCTTATGACTGAAATTAATGATTTTTATCTCATCTTTATAACAGTGGGAGAACCCAAAGGCAACTTTTGGAATATGGGAAAAAGGGGAGGTTGAAGAGCTTACCATTTGAAAGGTATATGGTTTTTCCTCTTCCTCTTGCTGATTTTAAGTTGAACTCAGAGATTTATGTGCACCCTGGTATTCCCATGATGGACATTTCAATTACCTCTCTCTGGGGATTGCAGGAAACATTACCCATCTCAGTACGACGAAAGACAGTGCAGGTCCTCACCGGACATACTCTCTGATGTATCAAAACAGGTAAGTTTTCTGAAAATTCCTACTTCTTTAGATAAGTGTAATTTATCCAAATTTTAGATGGTTCCAAGAATTGAATCTGCCAGTCTACCAATGTGTGTCACAGTTACTCTGTTCTAGTAGGCTAGCCTCCTCCTACAGAGGTCTACCGGCTCAATCTTTCCTGCCAATAGAAGACCGTTTAGCAAACTACCACTGGTGTATACTTTATAAACTAGAAAGATCTGACACATTTTCAAATTGCAACCCGTATTGTTAACATCTTACAAAATTCAGATCCAAGTAAATTCCTATGGCTTTGCATTTTTAAACTAGAAGCTCTGCTTGTTCTTTTTAAATAATAGAAAGCTTAAGGCTTAAAAGAAGGTCTTGTGTTAAGATTTTAAAGAATTTTTGTTGCTTAATTGTGTAGTTTAATGAGAAAGTATTGTTCCCCCTGGAACTGTCAAATGATGGCTTCATTTTAGTTTTACAGCAGCAACCTTGTTAATCATTTTTCTTCAGATGTCTCTACAAAAATAAATTATGTGTCTCAGAAACTCTTGTGCCTGCATTCAAGTCACTGAACATTTTTATTCAAAAAGCATCAAAGGTATAATGGTTAAAATTATCATCTAGCATATGGACTTCATGTACCATTCATAGCTCTGCTACCACTTTTGTAGTAAATTGGGAGGAGGCTGGAGCAGGGAAATTAGGGGACCTGCCTGAGGTCACACAGCAAGTCAAAGGGAGAACCAGGACCTGGCAGGTTCATTGAAACAGCTACTGAATCAAACTGCTTAAGGTGCATGCTGCTTACACTCTAAGCAGAAAACATGGTGGCCAGAAGTGTCATATCCCTGAGAAAGAATAGTGTCGCATGTACTTTAAAAAGATTTTCATATCTTTAATTTAGTTCTTTTTTTAGCTTGATCACATAGTACATGTTATTTTTTAAATTTATATTTTTATTAGTACATGTTTGTAGTGCATAATGATTACATTGCTCATGGGTCTTGGTACATGTAAATAATACATTCTAATTTTTTAACACATAACTTGGGATATTGTACAAGTTATTACTCTTTAGATACATATTTACCAACTCATGAATAGAATATGGACTGAAATGACTTTGTGGAAAACGACCTTTCAAAATTCAAGGCCAAGTTAGAATCTTGCTCCCACCTCAAGCAAATAGCTTTTTCATCCTTTCACCAATGTCTCCTTCTTTCAAGGTGGAAGATTTGAGACTAGCACCTGGCGATGGGTACTACCGAAATGTGAACGGAGCACACACCTCTGAGCCTGTGCGGGACAGCAGGAGGAGGAACTCTGCAGTAGAGGTGACATTTGCAGTTGAGCTGGAACATTCTAAACCAGAGGCAGATCCAATATTGTTACATCAGTCCCAAAGCAGCTCCTCTTTCCCTTTTATTTATTCAGATTCTGTTTTTAACACTGACCCTGATCCAGACCCCAGAGACTTCTTTGAGGAAAGGACTCCTCTAAGCTCTTTCCAAACAAGCTCTAAGTTTGCTGACAATCACTTAAGCACATCTTCTGGCCTCACAAGCAAAGTAAGTCCAGCAAGGCAGCTATTTTACACAGATGTGCCCTATATTCCTTGTACTAGCCAGCAGGTTGATATCATGGCTCCCCAAGTCTTCTTTTATGTGGACAAGCCACCCCAGGTACCCAGACGGTCTCAACTGATGGCAGAGGAAAAGGTAAGACCAGACAGCTATATAGAGCCTACTGCAATAAAGACTACCAAAAGAAGTCCACAGAATATCAGACTGAAGAGCTTTCAGCAAGACCTCCAAGAACTCCAAGAAGCTATGGCGAGGACTAGTGGTAGGAACAACATCAATGTAGATCTAGAAGAAGAAGACCCAAATTTAGAAGATGCATTTGCATATAATATTCAAGAGCAAACCCCTAAATGGTCTCAGAGCCAATCAGACATGAAAACCATTCGTTTTCCTTTTGGGTCAGAATTTAGGCCTTTAGGACCTTGTCCTGCTCTGAGTCATAAAGCAGACCTGTTCACATGTATGTTTGCAGAGCAGGAATTCCCAGCAGTTCTAATGGATCACACTGCAGCAGAAAGGTATATAGCTAGTGAATCCAGCGATTCTGAGTCCGAGATCCTTAAACCAGACTACTACTCTTTGTATGGCAAAGGAATAAAGTCACCCATGGCCAGAATCCGCTTGTCCTCTGGTAGCCTGCAGCTAGATGAAGAAGATGAAGATGCTTCTTTCAGCACACCAACTACTGAAGACAGGACTTTGCTAAAACCATGTAATTACTTCTTAGCTTAAAAGCGTGGACTCTATGAACATTTTCAAGCCAGTTCCATGTCACAATTTCAGATTTAAAAAAATAAGCAACTTATTTATAAATCATTTTCTAAGCCTCTCTTCATTGGTGTTAAGGGAATCTTCTAATTTTGGGTGCCTGGCTTATGAAAGATTCAGCTGCCATTCAGTCCCCTACCTTCACACTTCTATTCCCTCTGAACATGCCCTCTCCTCTCCAGCAGTGTGGCAGGGTTGAGAAGTATTTGTCATCTCTATTTTATACATCTTCATAGAAACAGTATAAATGAAGGGCAGATTCTTCAATACTGAAGAATGGTAACAGGATGGGTTGGCATAGGGAATTGGCTTCTAACAACATTTTGTGATTTGGTAGACTGTGACTGTGTTGGTCATTTTGTACTTAAACAGTTCCTCCTACAATGTCAGGAACAAGATGGTAGCAGAGATCCTCTCAACACAACACGTGTTTAGAATTAATATTGTACTTGGCAGAATTCTAAGCCCACGAAATTCATGAAGAAGGTCAGTTTTTAAAGCCAGATATATGCCTGATGGGGATATGATATCTGATTTATAACTTCTCTATTCTTAACTATCTATGTACTGAAAGAGAAAAGTTAACAGGTCCATTTGCTGATTGAATCTCTCCTGCCAGAATTTATTTTTGTCATATCTTATTGCATGCTTGTAGGCAAGGAAATGAGATGCTATTTTAATAAAGAGTGATGGAAAATCCATTCCATTAAAAAATAAGTATGGTCTTCCTTGTGTTTGAATCAATTTCAGAAGTGATTGGTTCTGGCTTATTACTAAGGGCCAGGACAGTTACAGGACAGAGAAAAGGAGGGAGGCAAGTGAAAATGTATGGTCAGGGATGGAGAACAGGAACTGAGGTAGCTAAAAGAAAAATGATAGTATTGACACCATACTGTGTTGGTGAACCAAAATTCTACCCTTCACCCATTCAGGATGAGACCTTTATTTGGTACATTGACCTTAATATTAAGCCCAACATACTGTTAAACATAATGTTAAATGCAACACAACGTTAAATGCAAACTTCAAAGGCAAGAAGCAATTTACAGACAAGCTATTTTTGTATATAACTTAATGGAAAGAAGATGGATAAAATAGTTTCCTCACTCTCCTGTTTCTTGTATCTGAAATATTCCTTTTAGCATACTTCATTATACCACTTTCCTTTTCTTATATTGATTGATATACAGTAACTCACAAGTCTAGAGTAGTTATTTAATAAAAAGAATACACTGAAGCCCAATCACGTAGATGTTAATTCTATACATTCTTAAAGATAAATAAAGTTTACCCTCACCCTTTTCTCTAGGAAGAACTCAAACTCCTTTATGCTGCATGTTATTTCTCATCTCAATTTCTGAACATATTTCTAACTTCGTTTTCCTCAAGAGATGTAGTGCTGAAATCTACATATGTTCTTCTAATAAGACAGTGATTAGGGATACCATATAATTTATTATCTAACCCAGGACATTTTTAAAGGGAATTTTATTAAATTTTTAAGATAGGAGGGAGAAATCAGGACAGATGTTCACTGTAGCTATAATGAATGCTTAATAAAATGTGAAGAGTACCTTTCTTTTAGTTTCCCACAAAACTTTTATTATAATGTTCCAGTAATAAATGAAAGGGCAAAGGAGAAAAAAAAATCTTGAAACAACTAAAATACCATATCATATCGCCCCAAGGAAAAAAACACTGAAGATCGTGAACTTTAAATATTTATTTTCAAAACCCGCAAAACACTGGAGTGTGCCTCACTTAGAAACAGTTTACAGGACTAATAATTATAATGAATAAGCAGTACAATTTGTATCTGTGATGCAGTTGTGTTGTAAGGTTTCAAACAATCAATCTATAAACTTGTTGCTTTTACTTTTACAAAAATATTGATTTGATCCATGGTATGAATTGCAGAATTATTTTCAGAGCTCTACATTATAAACTGTAATTGACTTTTAGTTACACAGCAGGCAAAATATTTAACTGAACCATTACTTCCAAATACAGTGCATTAAAAGTAATCGTTACAGTGTAGGCACCAATGAAAATAATTTTCTTGGCACGTGACACACAACTTTCTCAAGAGTCTGTATTAAAAAAAAAAGGTTATAATGGCCACTTCCACTAAACTTTATTCTTTATTTGCAGAACATCTTTCTTCTAATATTTGGCAAATATTCAGATTCTTTAAAAATGACTTGTGCAAAAACCAAATGTGCAGATCCAAACAATAAAACATTAACTAACAAAAGTAATTGATATCAACAATTCTACAACTACTGATATATAACCCCCTTCCAGCAAATAGGCAGGCACAATATATATACTAGGTTTAAAAGAAAAAGGCATTACCCACTTAACAGTACTATAAATATAAATGAAAATTAACTGTACAGTCTAACTTACCTTCGTATGGATAGAAATCATCCTGTACTAGGGTTATTTTCATATGAACTGTAAAATGCTCATTTAAATACCTTCTCAAAAATGAACATGCTGCTTATATACTGATAATTATGAAGAACAAAAACTTATAAATAGTTTATAGAACAATTACTGCCATGACAAAAATATGCTGGTGCAAATTATATTCATACCTGTTGATCAGGTATTTAATCACATGACAATTAGCTTTGTTATAAGCTCTCTAAATCCAAGCATGTAATATGTGTTTATGTCGAAGATTTAAAGAATAAAGCCAAACTAATTCCTCCAGTGTTACCAAAATACTGATATTACTTCAAATTTTTAACCATATTAAATACAGGTTAATTGCCTCTTCCATCTAAAAGAGAAGATGAATATTGTACACCAAGAGGTACTTCTGTTACTACATTTTGCCTGTAAATGCTTCAAACAGGGCTCTCAAATGTGATCATCATTGAGCTGCCTGGAATTCATACCAACTTGGTGTTAAGAATGAAACCTTCCAAGTTTTCATTTTCAAGAGCCTCTTAGAAACTTCTATTTTAAGAAGGCATGAGTTATTTCCATCTTCCCACAGATAGTCATTTTGTGAATATGCGTGTGTACAAAAAGCTTTTTGAAGCTTGATAATTTACCAGAGTTGAATATTTTAGAATGACTTTGCAAGACCTGTATGCTTCATGGGTGTACAGTTAACTAAAGATCAAAACACGAAAGGTATTTATCCTCGTAACTTAAGAAATAATGATACCTAAAGGCAAAACTGTATCTCAACATTTACTACAATACAGGTGAAACTATAGTATTAATAGTTATTCACTAGAAAATAATCTCCTGAAAATATTAAACGATAAACACCATCACAAAATAGTTGAATAGCTTCTTCCAAATCTTCAGGGTTGTGAAGATCCAAAAGGCACACAGAGCTCACGAGTAAAGCATTGTTAAGCTTGAAGTAGCTTTGGTGGGTTTCTCTGGATCCATATGAAATAGAAGCCACTGATAAATTTCTTAGGGGGATTCATCTGCAGAACATCTATAAAATTAAGAACGATTTAAATTGATATACAATTGTGCCTCTTTACATTTCTCACTTATATATGAACTCTGTGATGAAGGAACTGATTCAGCAAACAAGATAAATCCTTTTAATTGAATGCCAACATGTAGATGGTAAAATACAAACATCTGATTTCATAACTTCCAATTGATTTGCTTGTGAATTGAAAAGCAGACGAGCATTTTTCCATTATAATAGAAGGGATTTTAAGGGGGCTTTAGTTTAGGGGTACAAGTGGGCTTAAACACATAGAAAGACCTGTGAAAATATGTGATTTTACAGGTCATTCAGTTTGTACCACTTAGATCCCAGTGGCACCCAGGAATACAAGCAAATACAAAGGTGCCCTGAGAGGAGATGTAATGGGTTTAAAGTGAAATTCTGTATAACTTTCTATGTAGCTTGCTTAAGCTAAGGAATGTATGTGTGTATATTCATACAAAAGTCTTGTTTGAAAAAAAATTTTAAAAACAGACATTTCTCAAAGAAGTAGAAATAGCAAATAAACATATGAAAAAATGCTCGACATCACTGGTCATTCGAGAGACGCAAATGCAAACAATGCTGAGATTCCACCTCACTCCAGAAAGAATGCCTGCTATCATGAAATCAACCAATAACAAGTGCTGGCGGGGCTGTGAGGAAAGAGGAACCCTGCTCCAATGCTGGCGGGAGTGCAGACTGGTGCAACCACTGTGGAAATCAGTGTGGAAATACCTCAAACAATTAGGACTGGAAGTCCCATTTGACCCAGCTATTCCCCTGCTGGGGATCTTCCCCAAAGAATTAAAAGAATCATACCACAGTGATATATGTGCACCCATGTTTACAGTGGCACAGTTTGTAATAGCTAAAACTCAGAAAAAGTCCAAGTGCCAATCAACTGGATACTGGATAAAGAAAATGTGTGGTTTTTTGTTAATGGAGTACTACTCAGCCATACAGAGTGAAAAATTAGAGACACTTATAGCCAAATGGATGCGCATTGAGACAATACTCTTAAGTGAAATAAATAGGACACACATGTGTAAATACTGAATAGTTTATCTGGTGTGAGAAACTGAAAGTATAAATAAGTACTAAAAGGTATAACAGATAAGGTGAAATAGGAAGAAAAGGGAAAAGGGGAAGCAGAAGTGGGAAGGGTAGGTAGGGGAATGGAATTAATATGAGAAAAGGAAAAAATGGAAATAAAGTCTTTGTAAATAGGGCAGGGTGGAGGGGTTGAAGGGAGGGCAAGGGAATGGGGAAAAAATAAGAACCAAGATAGATTATGTAAAAGTACAAATGTCCAATGATGAATGTCATTATATTGTATACCTAAAAGTACCAGTAAAATTAATTTGAAAAATAAAAGAACTTTTTTGAATAAAATGAAACTAGCAGTTCAAGAGAAAGTATAGAACCTGAAGTTGAACATAAGAGCCTTTTATTGCCTTATCGTTTCCTTATCTTTTCATATGAGGGTCAAACTTAGGAACTTCAAGAATGGATATTGTATGAATAGTGGAGTTTCCGAAAATACTGAGGGTGGTAGCAAGAATGAAAGCATTCCTAAACAAAGTTTACAAGTGCTCAAGTTAAGACCTTTTATCTACATTCCCCTAGGGAAAAGAAGTAGAGGAGGCTATTTAATTCAGTAGAAAACTATCTGGCCATATTTAAAGAAATAATTCCAACACCTAATTTTAAGATGAGCAACAAATGAAACTGTTTTCAAGCACACAATGATTAAAAAGTGATTTTGTAGAAATAATTTAAATGACTGCATCAAAATAATTATATTGCATTGTAAATTAATATCCAACAAAAATGTCAACATAATAGTTTAAAATGACATTTCAAACTTACTTTTGAAATTTTTCAATTAATTTCTTCACCATTTTATCTGTAATGCCTGGGCAGGTGGCTTCAGCCACAGCAATACTTTTCTCAAGTTCTTCAATTGCCTGATTCCTGCGTGCATTATTCTCATCCTGCTGTTTAAGCTGAGAAACAATGATAGCTATAAAATTTAAAATACTGTACTACTTAAAATAGATATCCAGTGCTAAAGAATCTGCACTTACTTCAGCAAATGCAGGTGTTATTATCATAGACAAACAGCTCAGGGTTTGCACAAGGTCTTGCTCCTTTGAATAAATAATATACGTTATACACATGAAATTACAATAAGCATTCATGATTTT